AATTTGAATTAAAAATCAAATACAGAAAATAAACACTGTGATAAAAATAAGAAAAAATAAAAAGAGAATTAAAATGAGTGAGTGTGCCAGCACCTTTTCGACACCCCCATCTTTGTCGATTTTTAATTATTTTTTGGCATTGACAAATGCCCTGAAAATTTACAGATATGTAGTTTACATAATCAATAACTCATTAAAAAGTTTTCAAAAAATAATAAAATGTTTTAGGCCTCGAAATAAAGTGAAAACAAAAAGTTAAAAGTGAAAAAAAACAAAATAGTGAGTGGGCGAGCTTGTTTTGACAGCCTCATCTTTGACGAATTTTAATGTTTTTTTGGCTTAGCAGAATGACTTCTAAAGTTATAGGCGCATAGGTTACATCATAGAGAACTCGAAAAAACAAAATCAGAAAAACAACTTATTTATTGGCCCCGAATTTTTTTTTGTGGGGGCCGAACCTGGAGGTGTTCGGCCCCCGAACGGGACCCCGAACGCCCGAACGTTCGGGGGCCAGCCCGGGGCCCCAGAACGTTCGGGGGCCAGCCCGGGGCCCCAGAACGTTCGGTCAGGTAATATATATATATACGGAATGTGTTGGGACGCCGGTCGTGATCCGTGATACTGTGCTTTCGCATGTGCAGGTGCGTATGGCCTTCCGCATCCATAGAGTCGGGGCATCAACATGGATCGCCAACAACCTCTTGCGGCTAGCCTTCTCATCCATAGAGTCGGGGCATCAATATGGATCGCCAACAACCTCTTGCGGCTTTGCCGCCGTCGCCGAAATCCCCGTTGCTTCCTACTCCTCTCTCTTCATCTCCATCCGCCTCACGCACTCTCTCTTCTTTGCAAGGCTCTCCGGTGTACCATGATATTTCACGCGGTCGAGAAGGAGGGCTTTTGGATCCACGCGGACGTACTCGAACCGATTGTATATTGGAGAGACCTGCAACCAGGCAGCATTTGGATGACAGAATGGCGGTTCTGCCGTTCCCTCCTCTGCTGAATTCGACAACTGTCACACAAACTCTTCTCCTAAGTCACATGCGCGCAACCATTGCCGCAATCCCGGCTCTCCCCACTTTTGTTGGCGATCCCACAACGTCTCCTTTTGCACAATCCGCTGTGGTTTCTTCTCGTCCTCCATTTTCTTCGCCCATGGGCTCTCTCGCAGCGATGTTGCCGACCTCTTTGTCCGCAAGTCAGACCATGTGCGGTGTCCAACAAAGTCGTTCAGACGCCGCGCCGCGGTCGTTCCTGTCTTCTGGCCATGACAACACCGGCGCGGTTCCCGTTGCGGGTGTCTTTGCGTCGGATCCCGTTCATCGAACAGAAGAGAGACGTTCGCCGATCGAAGCAGTGCAGCCGACATCATGCACTCCGGTTTCCACCAACCGTGCACGCGATGTTCTTTCGCCGTCTAATGATAGCGAGGCTGGGATGAGTTTCTCACCTTGGCCGCCCCGTACGAGGTCTAGTACACCTCGTGAAGGCAAGCCTCGCTGGGTGCGATGCAGACTCGATCAACAAAATCGCCTGGGTGAGATTGCAAAGGCGATGGGAAAGAAGTTGTCGACTCGCACTCGTGGCTCCAAAGATAAGAAGAAAAATCATTGTTCGTACGAGGACGTGTTCGATGAGCTCCTAGAGTGGAGTTCCGTTCACATTGATGAACTGATATCAAAGTACGACCCCGGCGAGCAATCGTATGCCCATGGGGGTTCATGCGGACAAGGATCGGATGCAACGACGACACCAAAGTCGCGAGGTGGTAGACCTCGCAGTGACGTTTTGAAATGGCGCGACGGTAAGCCAGGATATTCGGATAATAGTCCGATGTTTGAAAGGTTGACCGTGAGGGACCAAATGACCATGTGGGATGCGCCATCCAGACCTGATGTCGTTTTCATTGAGTCGGTGAAACCGTGAAACTTCTACAGATTCTCGGGATGTTCGAGCAAACGTGTCCTCAGCACGGGAAAGACGTGGAGGTGACGATCACAAAGATACAATATCCATGTCACATTTGCAAGTTGCAATTCGAGTGTCGGAAAGGGTGTACTTGGCACTGGAGTTTCATGAAGGTTGTTTCACCAGGGGGGGTGAGAAATTCGAGGGTGGAGACTCAATTGTTCCACTCCACTTTGATTGCGGGAATGACTTACACTCAATTGAATAACCTTCTGCGGGGCTTAGGGATGAAGAAGGTTAGGAAATAAACTTTCTATAATTTTTTCCATTATGACGGCCCAGGTTCCCGACAGTGGCTGCAACACGTCGAACGGGTTACGAAAAAGAGCTTCGACAAGGTCATCGCGCGATTGCGCAGTTCGAACGATCCGGTCGTCGTTTTGGTGGATGGGCGTTACGATTCGTCTCGTGACGCTCAGCATTGTACGGTAACGGCGGTGGATTTGAAGTCAGGAATGATCGTGGGAACGGAGACCATGCTCTGGGGGAGCGAGTCGTCGTGGAAGCTGAAAACACAGTGTGTGGAGAAACTGCTTCATCGGTTGAAGGACGAGAAGAACCTCATAATCGCAGAGGTTGTGCATGATGATTGTGGCGCGGTTGACGTCATATTGCGGCGAATGAACATTGACTCGCAAAAGTGTATGTGGCATAAGGCGAAGACTTTGGTCAAACGCTTGCGAGAGGCTGTGCGCGGCACGAAGACTGTCAAACCAGCTGTGGTCAGGGTTTGCGAGCATGTGCGCGAGGTGAAGTGTTTCACAAAAAAGGAGCTCGAACTTTGGCTCGAAATGAAATGTGTACGCGTGGCAGGGGTGTCCACGAAAAAAAATAATGAACTCGTTGAGATTGTTTGGGGTGTGTTCTTCCCCGACGAAGCAGGGAAGGCGTTGCCAGATGATGTCGTCGAGATCGACGCGTTGCAAACACTGCATTGCGATGCGGCGGAGGAGGCAAAGGAGTGGTTGTACGACGCTTGCAGGCTGCGCGAGCGTGCAAGGGATGACGATGACGATGTGTTGGCCACTCATGTGCAACACCTCGCCAATCATTGGGCCGGGGATCATTCCCGTTGCGATAAGGAGTTGTCAAACCTGTACAAAGCGGGCGGTGATCCGGACAGAGAGTCATTGTACGAGGCTGGGGGACGTGTTCATTTGGCCATCGCGCGGTGTCTTGAACAGTTCGCTTCTAATACGAAGATGACGTACTACACACGTGCGAGGATGACCTTCAACGACAAGTGCTTCCACTCCGTGATCAACAAGTACTGCACGAAACGCCTGAACTTCCCCAACTCGTATGAGGCGCGCGTCTGTTGCACCGCTTTGGAGTGGAACAAAAACAACGAATCAAGCGATTGCGCACAGTTTTCCGCAAACCGACTAACGTAACCCATCGACGTCGTTCCGCACGACAGCATATATACGCCACCCGGGATACGTCGTGGCGCTTCGACATTGCAACTGAAGTTTTCGGTAGCCCTCGGGTCGGAGACTGGGCACGTAACATGTTGCAGCAATCGGATGTCGACGACCCAGTTATTGAACATTATGATGAGGAAGCTGATTACGGACTCCCTGATGCCGTTGAGAGTGCGGTGGAGGGTGTTGTGGCCGAAGGTGACAATGTTTTCGTAGAGGCAGGAAGTGAAACTGCTTCAGATGACAAAAAGTCGTCTTCCGACTCCGACAACGATGGTGCCGCTCACCGCCTCGACTTTGATGGCGCCGTGCTTTCGCAGGAGGTGTCCGTTGTGCAGGAATGATAGTGTCACGTACTACATCGATGCTATTGTCGTCGTGATAATCATGGGAATTTTATGTCCTCGATTTGAACTGGTTGTAATTTTGAACTGGTTGTGAGAGCTGTTTTTCATGTTTACTAATTGTATATATGTTTTGTGTACACTTTGTGATAACTGGTTGTGGGAATATATATATATATATATATATATA